TATGTCTCCAACGAGACCCTTCACAGAGACCTCGACATCCCTTACCTCAGGGACTACATCAAACAACAGGCGCAGTTACGTTATGGTCAAGCGGAGCCACACAGCAACTCTTTGTCGCGTGAGTCAGTAGACTTCACAGTCGAGTAAGTTCGCAAACATACAAGACCGATGCTCGCACTGTGATCACAACCAAACCGTGCAATTCTAGGTCCAACCAAAATTACGATTTTTGCCACAATTTCCCAAGTTAATTATTGGATCAATTTATAATAACCGAATACCAGTTAACAATAGCACCCCTTTAACTGGCGCACTTCACCCTCTTTGCGCTTCCCCCTTCCTTTTTTCATTCTTCTTCCTTTCTTTCTCCCTGACTTCGTCTGGCATCTGGGCAACCAGACCTGACATACCTACTGACCTACGATACTTATAATAACAAAGAGCGAAAGTCCCACGGACCGCTCTGACGGACAATAACGATTAGACGTGTACCTGTTGCCTAAACATCATGGTGTTTCAGCTATCAATGTTTGCTTTGATCTGATGAAACATCTGCAGAGACATTATTAGAGGTCTAAGCTGCAAGTCGTATACTATAGCTGGAAAGAAACGGCAGGGCATAGGTGCATAGTGAATATTTGTGTGCTAATAATCTGCGTTGATGATAATTCCCTTAGTTTCTTGATTCAAATACAATTACTTGAGATATATGCTTCATCCTGGAAATCGAATATGCAAATATGCTGAATTTCAAAAATGAGAGAGATTAAAAAAGAAAATGTCTGGTTTCTCAAGTATATTACAACTAACTGGTGAGAAAATAGTCTAGAGACAGAAATATTTATGAAACGTGAAAAGGTTATTAAAATTTACAATTTTTGTTCAGTCATTTAAATTTTATGGAAATTTATTTTGCGATGTAAGTAGAAAATACAAATCAGCGCCTAGAGGCGAGGCACTGAGAAAATGTTTTGTGTGATGCATCATTCCTATTTTTCTGTGTTGTGACACACAACGCGGGCGCGGTGGTGATTTCCCTTAATGCTTCTCAAAGTTTTTGAAAACGCAAACAGAACCAGGGAAAATTGTAATCTATAACTTTGAACACAACATCTCTTCAGGAAGGAAAACAGAAATAACCCGTCTAGTACACCTGATATACTTCACGGACAGCATATTCAGTAATAATTTTCTCACATAGCAAAATATCACTGATTTTATACACATGCAGACCAATATACACAAGCACCACACAGTCATCCAGATTGCTACCAACCAATTGTCTTCCTTCCACATCTTCTCAGAAATACATAGTCTACAGACTATCTCGGCATTCTGCAACCGACAAAGCGTGCTGGCATGTCGTTGAATCATTCCTTCATAGATGATGCCTAGGGTGATGCTCACAGCGATCAAAATCGAAATGAACTATTTTTACACCATCAGCTATCTAGTCAGAAAGTCAGTTTTTTATGACATTATATACGTTTTTTACCCTGCCGGACTATTCATATTAGAAAATTTCAATTTTTTATTTTAAATCCATTATTGAAAGTTTAGTAATGTTTACGAACCCCAATATGAAGTTCTTTAAAAAAGACGGACACGCTCGCCAAAACGTTAGAAAAACTTCCAATCCAACATTTGTGGTTGCATTGGGCGATCAGCAAAGCATGGATAAACATAAGTTACATTTTGTATTTTTCACCTTCTAATGACTACAGTATATACAGATAAGAGATAGACCGGATGTAAACAAAAGGTTCGGGTGATTTTCACGCTAACGCCGCCGTCTCGACGTAAAACAGGAGCCCTCATTGGTCAATTCGCAATTAAATGCCTATGCCGCGCGGCAGAGCAGTCGTATCAAGGCAGAGTCACATTCAGGTTCAGACGTGTTACGTATGTCGTGTGCATCATTGCAATTTGATATTTCTTTGGACGTTTTCGTTTGTTATCTTATTAGGTTGTTGAGTTTGTCGTTGTTATTGTTATACCTTCTTATTGATTGTTATTGTTTTCAACTGCTTGCGCAAAATGCCCAGTAGTACAGATACTGCCGATGAAGTTGTAAACTCCTGTAGTCCACCTAGGAAACGCTCTAAAAAAAGACACCTGAGTGCAGAAATGAAAGAGGTCATTTTGAATATATATAAGATCGAGCGCGAGGAGAACGAGGCATCAACCATCAAAGAAATTGTTGTGAAGGTTTCTCACAAAGTTGGGGTGTTAAGACAATACAAAAAAAATCACACCTTTTCTGAGCCAATGACCAGTAAACATCGCAAAAGTATTGTTAAATCATTGGATGAAGCTGATAAGCATGAGATTAGGAGGAAAGTGCATGAATTCTTCTTTAGGAATGAAATACCTACTATGGATAATGTACTGCAGGAGGTAAATGGAGATACAACGTTGCCAAATTTCAAACGATCAACTTTCCATGCGTTACTGAAGCATTTAAATTTCAAATGGAAAAAACGGGGTCGTAATAGTTTACTACTGGATAGAGAAGAAATTGTGCTATGGAGGAGGGATTATTTAACAAAAATTGGGAAATATAGAAATCAAAACAGGAAGATTTATTACCTTGATGAAACGTGGGTAAACGCAGGACACACTACAAGTAAAGTATGGGTTGATGATTCTGTAACTTCATCCAGGAGGGCCTTTCTAGATGGACTGTCCACCGGATTAAAAAATCCAGCAGGTAAATACGAGTAATAGACAACAATCGGATGTTTTTCAAACCTTGGGAACAAGGTTCTAAACATTAATTCAAGGGGGCAGATAAAACATATTACAAGTAACAAAACTTTTATAACTTTCGATAAAATGCGTGGATGTTTTATTGTCATTTTCATTTGTTAGAACTTTTTTAAGCCATGTTTTTATGTGTTTTCGATATTTCAATAATTTTTTAATATAATCTTAAAATATGTCGAATATTATAAACTTAAAAAAAGTTACTAAGTTTTATATTGTGTACCGTTCCTAATATTTCAAATCATTTTAATTCATACTTTAAGCTTTATAAAGTTATAATTTGTTAATATTAATATTTGCGCGTATTTCAGGTTCCTGATCATTCATTTTTTAAAGGTTTATAACTTTAAATTAAATTGTGAAGCGCTGAGTAATCATACGACGTTCAATATTCTTTCTTTCAATATGACTAAATAATCCCAATTATAGCAATCTGATACTCATGTCTCAATGTTTTTTCGCTGAATGTGATGAAAACATTTGAAAAAGGTTCGCTTATTGAAATAAATCTACACCAGTTAGTAGTTCGATTTCCAGGTAAAGGGAAAAGGCTCATTATCTGCCATATTGGCAGTGAGGATGGATTTGTTGTTGACGGTCTGTGGTGCTTTGAGTCTAAGAAAACTGGAGATTACCACGAGGAAATGAATGGCGAATCGTTTGAACAGTTGGTTTTCAAAAATTTTACCGAACTTAGAGGAAAACGCAGTAATTGTGTTGGATAATGCGCCTTATCATTCTCGAAGAATGGAGAAGGTCCCAACAACGGCTTCAAGGAAAGTTGATGTTCAAAATTGGCTCCGCTCGAAAAATATCAACTTTGAAGAAGCAATGCTGAATGTACAATTATTGAGAATTGTCAAGGATCACAAGGCGGAATATCAAAAATACGCCATTGACGAAATGGCAGCAAGTCAAAATAAAACGTTTACCTCCATACCATTGCGAGCTCAATCCCATTGAGCTCATATGGGCAGAGGTTAAAAATTATATAGCTAAGCACAATACAACTTTTAAATTTTGTGACCTCAAAGGACTTTTCAAAGAAGCACTAGAATTAATAACAGCGCAAAAATGGGAAAACTGTATTAAGCACGTGAAAGACAAAGTTGAAAAGAGAATGTGGGAACTGGACAATATTTTAGAAGAACAAGTCGAGCCATTCATTATTGACGTTGGTGCTTCAGGCAGTAGCGATGATGAAAGCTCATCAAGCTCATCTTTCCAATAAAAGATGTCGTTCATCAAATTCGGTAAGTTATAAGTAATTATAAAGCTACTGTATTTTTTAATTAATTATTGACATTTTTGAACCCATTTTGGCAAAACCTATTCAAGAATCTACTTTCTGACAATGTTCAACCATGCACATTTTTTTACGTTTTGAACGTTTTAATTTGGTTACATATTTACCTAGAAATCAAAAAATATACTAATCAATATTCTAAAAGCAATTTTAAGAGATATACGATTATTTTTAATTTAGGCTAATTTAAACGCCATTTTGAGATTATATTCGACTGTATTTCACCAAACATCAGGCGGCATCCGAAGCTGGAAATCAAAGCGAAAATTTTGAAACCCTTATGTATATTTACATCATTATATATTTCTTACCCCACCCCCACATGATCCTATATCCATCACCAATCGTATACACATCGAATTGTGCTAATTTACTACAAAGTTACGCAAAGCAGCATCTACTATCTAAAATATGTACTGCGTGACTCTTAATACGTCCCTGCCGAATGTTACAGCGTTCGATGATCACGTGGTCTTGTTTATGTCCGGTCTATCTCTTATCTGAATATACTGTAGCATAAATATGATTGACATCGATGCAATAGGCATTTTTGAGGAAACAACCATTTCCTAGTTTCATAAATGAGGGACATGTGTGTCTCCGTAAGGTTGCTCCATGGAACAATTTTTTATAGAAACTTGTTCTTTATTTCTTAGCAATTTTATAAGAATCCCAGAAATTCATCATTTATTCTGCGACACAATTTATTTGTTTAGATACTCAGTTTGGATGTTTCGTACTCGATACACAGTTCTTCCTAAATAATACGAAAGAAAAGATTAGGTGTCGGTAGGATTAGAACAAATAAGTCCGGTATTCCGTACGCTACGCCCACATTTGAGTAATTTCTTTAAACGAATAAATAGCCAACACTGAGCAAAGTTTTATAAATATATCTAATCGATTGAATCTCACGATTCTGACTTACCACAGGAAAATGGAAAGCCAACTCACCTGAAAATAGAAGAAATATTTATATTCATCATATCACATGTTGACATATAATATAATGAAAAACTATTTCATAAGCAAGAAAAATTCGTTAAAAATGAAATCAATGAAAACATAGTTTAGCACTACCTTTTTCCTAAACAATAAGCAACTATCAAAACACAATTTTGGATACTAAAACAAAAAAAAACAGCATAGAATAAATAACAGTTACTCATAGGGCATAAGTCAACCCGCGATGTTTTTATACACGTTTCAGTTTAGTAGCAGAACTGCGCTACCATATTTGTACGCTTTGTTTACAAATTACGCAGCAATGCACGGCAAAATAAATATTGTGTTCTCTGCATATTTTTACGATTGGCACGTGACGCTTTCAATGTCATCCGGAGTGGTGTTGATGCACTAAATAAAGTGATTATTATTATCGTCCAGAAATACAACATGGATGCATCATTTTTTGATGCAATTGAGCGGAAGAAAGCCTAACGATATAATCATTTATTATGAAAGCAAACTCCTGATATTTGCTGTGTGCGCGGTGATAGCGCCAGCTAGGTGATGTCCGTTGAAATATTTGTGCATGTGTTTAATAATATAAAAATAAGCGAATATTGATCAAAATGACAGGCATTTGGTCGCTTTGAGGTTAGGAACAATTTGAATTTCACACTAATAATTCTCTTTTGATCTGACAAATGATGACAGCGAAATATTTGCACTATTGTCAGGCCTTAATCGACCCACATGAAATAGATTTCACCAAAGAGCCTGTATTCCACTATCCATCCGATGATGTTTCATATAAATAAACCGCCTGCGCGATTCAGTTGCCCGCTCTATACACTTTATATAATTATGCTCATTTCGGTCTGCCGACAATGTGATTTAATCATAGATCAACTTTATAAAATTTCAAACATAAATGTTATTTGCAATTTTCTAACAAAAGCATATTGAGATCGTAAAAAATGACAAGGAAGATCACACTTATGGCTTGCTCGATCTCCGCATTTAAAACCCTTTAGGTTATCTCTTATGGAAATGTGGAAAATGTTAAATAACCCTGGCATATTTAAAAAAACGGCAGTCTATGGGGAAAAGACCGGCCACGCATCCTACTTGAAGATAATCACTCCTCGATTAACTTTTGCCGATTAAGAAGCTTCGCATGTGATTTTTGGAGGATATTTTTTTAAAACTGTCAGAAATACATACTTTTAGAAAGATCCATAGAACTACGGCTTGAATTTTAGCCCCACGTTTAAGAAGCACTATACTAAAACCCATGCATGAACAGTATATAGATAGCGTTTTTTTTTGTGAAACTAGTGCTACACTAGTACATATTTCACCTTCTTTTGACAAAGCCAGTGTATATATTTGTGTTCTTTTGATACGTACTAGGAACTTGCTTTTCACTCAATGCAAAAATATCGCACAGCTCGTGCTAGTGTTGTCAACTGTCAACAGTGTCACATTTTACAACTTTTACTTCTTTTACTTGTGGATTTGCATACAACCATGCTTTTACAATGAGGTGCAAGGTATTTCTTTTTCGAGAATTAACTATAACAGTACGGAAAAGGAACAAATACAGGAAATAATTTTTCATTGACAGGCGACAACACGAGACACGAAACGACGGAAGCCTGGGGGGCAAATGTAGGATGGACTAGGGTAGAGTGTTTTTTTTTACACCGAAGCAGCTACTCAGACAGAAGCGTAAATCCCAGTGCACCGCGGCTGCTATGAGGATCAAAAGAAACTTTGTTACTCCAATTTTTGAACTGCCCAAGGTTAATAGAACTGGAAAAAGCCTCCTCTTGTAGCTGGTTCCACAATCTCGACAACCTAGAGACAAAGGAGCGGCGTATCGGCCAGTTCTGGATGTACGAAGTTTGACATGGCTAAGATGGGAGGCCAAAGTCAGGCATGTCTGTCAGACAGGCACATAGGGCGGCGGCATCATGGAAGAGAGTTCTGAGGAGCAAAGCCCGTTGGTGTGGCGGTAGAAGAGAGCGAGGTCGCCGACGGCCTGCCGGTGCGAAAGGATCCCGAGAATGACTGTTAGAAAAGAGTCATCGATCAGTCGGTCAGTCGTTTTCTGGTCAGCATCGAGCATCTGTAATGTAGTCGGGACGACAGCACCTCAAACGTGTCAGCAATACTCGAGGCTCGGTCTTACCTGAGCCTTATGTAAAGTGAGGAGGTCTTGTGGAGAAAAATTCTGCTTACCCCTAAACAAATAGCCTGGCTCTTTCCCAGCAGCTGCCGCTTTTGACGAGATGTGTTCGTGCCAGATCATGTCCTAGTTGATCTGGACTCCGACGAGCAGAAATGAACTGCTCATTGGCAGAACTCGGCCATCCATCGAAACCGGATAAGCGCTAGGACGCTTTTTGTTTGTCAAGGTACAGTAATATGTTTTGAAAGCATGTAAACTGTACAAGATTGTTGCGCCCCCAAGCAGTGACAACCTCCAGGTCTCTTGTCAGAGAGAAAATCGCTGCTAGCCTTCTTTTTCACATTACAAACTTAGACGTTAATGCACCGATATTTTGCATTTTGCAAACTTCCAGCGCTCCAATATATATCACTATATCCAACAACTTTGTTTACTGATGCTATATCGACATCGACACCGTTCTCATGAAACTTCGATATGCCTAAGTTCCTCAGAACTTTAAGCATGTTACGTTTAATAAACTTTACCAAAGCATCAAAAGAGGATGTAGTTCGTGTTGCAAATAGTCTATATTGGAATTATGGTCTGCAAAACCGGTACTCCAGCAGACCAGGAATTTTGCGGCTACGTACCAAAAGACCCGGCATTTTCAGGACTTTCGTGTGGTCAAATTCAGTTTTGGTGTTAACATCTAGTTAGAACAAATCAAGTGTTAGGCATATTTAGTGTGTTTTGTGTGAAACGGCATTGTATTTCACATACTTATTATGAGAAACAATATTCTTAGCCGGCTTCAATAAGCTATTAAGTAGTGACCCCCCCGCAAAACGGGGACTTTTAAACGTAATCCAATAAAATCATATACTTATTGAGAAACTTATTTTATACTTAGTCCCAAGAGTGACGAAAAAAGCGAGACAAGGGTTTGAGATTTCGGTTACTCAGTCATAGTGAAATAATTGGAAAATCCCGGAACTTTTACTGTGGTACTTCAAGCCCAAAGGCTGTTATTGTGGACTTGTTGTGTTTTTCCCTCTCCATCTTCGTTTCCTTAGGTTACACCGATATCCGGATTATGGGCATGTGTATTTACTTTTGTAGTTGCATATGTGCATTCATTTCGGGCCTGATGAAGCCAACCAGCAGAAATACGTATCGCTCGGGTTACCTATCCTATTTTCTGCTCGAATCCACTTTCCTTGTTTTTGCAGATTTTGCCCATTATTTTCCTATTTTTTGTTATATACCTTTCTCCGCATGATCATTTTCTCTTTATACAAGGTGTTCCTTAATGATATGCGAAAATTTAAGGGTGTGAATCCACATGAAAAATAATGTTAGTTTGCTTTATAAACAGTGGTCCAAAAATGTTTCCTTACAAAAACTCGGGGTGTTGAATTTTTAGGAAAAGAATGGGAATTAATATTTTCAGAACCGCTTCAGGTATTTCACTGATATTTAGTAGGTAGTAAAAGTAATAAATTTGAATATTTATCAATGCAAAAAAAGTTTAGCTTCAACAGTGGCGGGTATTGACTTCGATATTTATTAAGAAAAAAATGGTACGCCAATGGTTTTTTGCCAAATAAAAATTATTTTGAATTCCCCGTTCAATTTAAAACAAATGATATTTCTTGAGTTGCTTTCGTTCGATGCGCCATTTTTGAGTAAAAAAATAAAAACCGTTCTATTGTCTAACTTGCAAAATTATTATTAATTTAATTGGAAAAAACACATTAATGAACAACAACAACTGACAACATAAATTTTACAACAACCAAGGTACTCCATCCACGAAATTGTAGATCTGAAAAATCATTATTAAAATCAATAATATTTTACTTACACTAACATCCATACTTTTACTTCAGCTCTAATTGTCTGGATATTTTTCCTGATATTACCATAATAATTCACCAAATTATACAGTATTAACGGGTTCTTTCTTTTTTTTTTTCATACACTGACTGTACTATTAGTTTTTATTTTGTACAAACCCAAACACAAGTGCAAACTTTTTTTGGATGCTTTATGTTTATTGTGCACAATATTTGATATTCACTTGTATTTTGTGACAATAAACATTATTATTAAAAAAAAAAACATAACATTAAAACCAACGAAATGATTACAAAAATTGTTGAAAATGGCCCTCTTCACTTAGTATGCATGCTCATGGAATTGCGCACTCGTTGAAATATCCCTGGAGTGTTTTTTATTCTATCATAAGCTATCTATTCTTTCTCTTAATTCCGCTACAGTATTAATGGGACTTGTGTACACCAGTGTCATAAGATAGCCCCACAAAAAGAAATCTAAGTTGTTGAGGTCTGGGGATCTTGGTGGCCATTCTTGGGGCCCACCGCGGCCAATTCAACGATTTGGATAAACAATTTGTAAATAATTACGAACCGCTACACAGAAATGCGCTGGTGCACCATCATGCATGTACCACATATTGTTCCTTATTACTAACGGAACATCATCAAGGAGCAAATGCAACTGTTGTTGAAGAAAACTGTGGTAAGTCTGTCCGTCAAGTCGTCCCGGCAAGACGAATGGGCCAATAATCCCTGCCCATACGTTAACCGAAAATTGGTGTTGGAAATGTGTTTCGGTTACGGCATAGGGATTTTCTTCGGTCCGATTATTGTGGAAATTCTAAATGGCATTTCGACAAAAATTAGCTTCGTCCGTGGACAGAATCATTGATTCAAATTGCGGATTTTTTGTAAATTTTTGAAGATACCACTGACAAAAGGTCACACGCTTTGGAAAATCAATGTGAAGTTTTGACTGTACTCTTAAAATATGG